CAGCTTAGAGGGAACACGGGTAGGGGGGTGGTCGGGGGAGGTGGCGGCGGCAGCGAGCGTCCTCCTCCACTCCCCTCCCGCCCCGCCCGGCACATTGCCTCTAGTCACAAAGGTCATGGAAGCCGGAGAGGGAGCGGCTCAGAGTGCAGGTAAAGGGGTGCCTCTGGCGCGCACTCTCCATGGCTCCCTTAGAAAAACTCCCATGGGGCTTGTTGGGGGGACTCGGGCGGCGGGGGGGAGACAGGTGGCTTTTTAAGCCGGCGCACGAGGGCTGGAGTACAGAGACCAGTCCTGTGGTTAAGAGAGGGTGGATGGTGAGGAAGAGAAGCTGGCAGGAGCTGGCCGCAATTTGGCTGAGTTTATAGGGGAGGGGAGTGTCGGAAGGTAGCTCTGGGGATGAAGGATTCCACTTCTCTGAAGTGCCCAAGGAGCTCAGTTGTCGGGCAGCCAGGTTGGAGGCAGCGCGGCACGCGGGTGGCGCGTTGAGGTGCTTTGGGGACAGCCCGGGAGGGAGGTGGCCCAGAAGAAATGCAAGGGGGCCGGCCCCCGTGGGCCCCGTGTTAGCTACGGGCCTGCCTCCGAGTGCTTGGGGGGGAGGGGGGAGATGGACCCGCGACAAAGGAGGGCCCTGCCCTGCAGTATTGGAAACAGGATGGTCTAGATGTCTGAGCTGCTGATAGACCCTTCGTTGTTGTTTTTTTAAAAAAAATTAGCTTTCCTGGATTAATGCGTTTGTTGTCCCCCCACCCCGCTCTCTCGTAGCCTGCTGGCTCCTCAGGAAATAGTGTGGCAACCCCTCCACCATTGGTGCGGGGAACACAGACCATCACTTCTAGCAAATCATCCCTCCTTCAGGTCAGTAGATTGGGGAAGGGGGAAGGTCTCTTGACCGGCTCTGGATGGGCCAGATTGCTGGAGATGAAGCGGCGTGCCTTAACCGGGGCGGGGGGGATGCATTTGCTTCTGGTTTTCTGCACCACCCTCCCTTAAAAGTGACAGCGAATGCCATTTCTGCTTCCGCAAAAGGAAACCATTTGCACGAGTAATCCACTGGGCAGGGCAGGGCAGGGCAGGATAGGATTGCAGGTCCTCTTCTGTGAACTGGAGGGCCTCCTGAGTTGCGTTCTCTAAGTATCTGAAGAAGAGCCCTCACTTAGAGGAGGGCAGGGAGCTTTCCCTGTTGGCAGCAGAGGATAGGACTCGCAATAATGGGTTTAAATTAAGGGTGGGAAGGTACGGGCTGGATTTTTTTATTGTATCCCAATATTGTTATTTCATTACAGTTTAGTTCCAAAATTTTTGATACTTCTTTCCCCCTATTTTATCCCTCCACCCCTAAGGTGGCCAACATCATGTTATTCAAATTACATTTTCAACCACGAGCACATTCTTTCCAACTTTTCCAATATACCCCTATTGGCTTCCCCTTTGTACACCCATTTAAAGTATACCGACCATTTCTTTTTTATCTCCTTCATTTTTGTAGTCCATATCTTATCTTGCTTTAAACATTCCAATATATCCGATTGTATATATTCATATAAATATTCATTCCATTTTTCTAAAGTCCATTTTGAGTTCTCCTTCCAACCATATGCAATCACTGCATGCGCAGCTAATAACATTACTTTGAAAATATCCTGATTTTGTTTCTCAATTCTATGATTTCCCAATACACCCATAAATAATAAATCTACATCTATATCCAGGTTGACTTTACATAGCGCTGCTATTTCCCCCCCGTATCTTTTCCCAGAAATCTGTCACCTTTGGGCATTCCCACCATAAGTGAGAGTACCACCCTTCTTTTGCGGGTACCGGCTGGATATTAGGAAAAACTTTTGTACAGTCAGAGTTGTGCAACGAATGTTGCTTACTATAGCTAGAATACCCCTAGCTCAGAAATGGAAGGAAAAAAACCATTCCTACTTTGTCATGTTGGCAAAATAAAATATGGGAACATTTAATCTATGGGAAAATAGCAAGCAAACAATTGAGCTGGGATATTATTACTTACCAAAAATCGTTTCAAGCAATCTGGTTTCCTGTGGTTCATTACCTTGCCGAGGGAGGAATCATCCCTAAAAACCGGCAATAGCAAAAGCTACTTTATTTTTGAGTTGCACAAACAGATCCTTACAACTTAAGAAATAATAGAAATAGTAATGGTGACTGTCAGATTAATATATTTAGAGTTATGCTATTCTATACTGTGTGAACTTTGTGTGAAATCTTGTTACTGTACTGTATAGAAAGTTTGAAACGATAAAAATTAAAATTAAAAAAAAAAGAGTTGTGCAACGGTGGGATCAGCTGCCGAGGGAGGTGGTGAGCTCCCCGTCATTGGCAGTCTTCGGGCAGCGGCTGGATGAACACTTGTCAGGGATGCTCTAGGCTGATCCTGCACTGAGCAGGGGGTTGGACTAGGGGGCCTCTGTATGGCCCTTTCCAGTTCTCTTTGAATTCCCAGGCTCAGCATCTGTAGGGGAGCGGGTTGGCTGCCATGTTCCCTCTCGGCTGAGTTAGTGTGAGCCAGCTCACCGTTTTGTAGCCTCCAGCTCACACGTTTTTGTCTTCGCTCAGGAAGGAGGGCTCCAGAGCAAACTGATTTACGCAGCAGCCGGATCGCTCACTCACAGCTTTAACGCCAGTAGTTCACAAAGTAGGATTATTGCTCACAAGAGGGAGCATCGGTGGGCTGCCAAAGTCAACATCTGTTTTCCCCTAGTCTTCTGGAGCTTTTTTTTGGGGGGGGATGTTTTCCTGCCAATAAAAGAAAGAAAGATGTGACGTGTTCCACTCTTCCATCTACACAAGTTGTAGTTTTGGGTGGAGGAACCTTAGAACAGTGACTCGTGCAGAGATGCGACGAGGCAGCCCTCTCCAAGGGCAGCTGATCCTTCTGCTGTTTGTTCCGCTATACACAATGCCGAGACTTGGCAGAACAGCACTTTGTGCTGAAGGCAGATTAGGGAAAAGCCAGAACCGCGATGCCCCTCCTCTGCGAATGTTCCGTCCTCTCTTAGAATCTGCACTTTAGGAGTGACCAATCTGCGTACGATTCTTCCTTGGTACTTTCAGCTTGCTGATTCTACCTTCTGCTAGAATAGGAGGATGTAAAAAAAATGTCTTTCTGTTGTTCACCATGTGAAACTGGTTTTCTTCTCTCCCCCCCCCCCCAATATAATGCAGAATTCTTCTTCCCGTATCCCTGGGACTGTTATCCCTCCCCCGTTGATCCGTGGTGGGCAGCAAGCCTCCTCAAAGCTGGGTTCTCAGCAAAACACACAAATAGTCATGCCCCCTCTCGTCCGAGGGGCACAGGTGAGTTTCAATCAATCACTTCATGACAACAGTCAGCGACCAGCAGTACCGTTTGATTGAGAAATGCAAAAGCCAGCAACCAGTAATACAGTTGGGTTAAAAAAAAATTTAGAGATAAAATTAAGTTTTAAAAACATATGAAATCATGCCAAATAACTACAGAGTCATGCCACCAAAAGGGATCTTCGGTGCTTGTAAACCTGAGCACAGAATTTTAGCCACCTGTCGAGTAGTCCGGTGGTTTCTATCTGACAGGAGATCATCAAGCTTGGTTTTATTTGGTCTCCCGGGAAATCTTTCTAGCAGTGGGCTAATACTTTCCGATCGGGCCTTTGTATAGTTAGGAGGACAGTTTTTTAAAAAATGTGTTCTACAGAGTCAATTTTACCCAGAGAGCAAGAACAGAGCCTTAAGGAGTAAGGGATTGCTTTAAACCTCCCTTCCAACACTGCCAAAGGTAAAGTCGAACTTCTGGCCAGTGTGAATGCCCTTCTGGTGTTGTTAGATTCCAGAAAATATAAATAAGTTGTTCATCAGCGTGGCTTCTGCGCAGTCCCACATGAGATTTTTCTGACACTTCCCTCGGTGGTCAGCCTGCGTAAGCGCAGTCCCACGTGTGCCTGCACAGAAGACCACTCGATGAACAACGGTTACAAGTAAGTTCACCCACCATGCTCCCCCCGGAAAGCCTTGGTTGGCTACGAAACCAGGGTGGGCAGGAGTGTGAGCCTGCTCTTTGGCCCCCTCCAGGCGGTGGTATATGTGAGGAAAGGGCTTCTTCATTGGCTTGTTGCAGAACCAAACTGTTCCCGATCCCTTAATCGATCTCCCCTCTCCAGACTCTCATACCTTCCCTGTTCTTATCTATGCAAATTTTCTTTCCTATTTCCCTTATCAGTGTTATGGCCCCACCGGGGTTAACTCTGACCATCTTCAGCTGGGAACCAGGGTCTGCATGCACTAGGTTAAAAGACGCCTGTGTAGCTGTGAAAACTCTGTGGTTACTCACACCCGGGTTTGGTGTAGTGGATAAGTGCGCGGACTCTAATCTGGGAGAACTGGGTTTGATTCCCCACTCCTCCACTTGCACCTGCTGGATGACCTTGGGCAAGCCATGGTTCTGTCGGAGGCGTTCTTGAAAAAGAGAAGTTTCTGTCAAGTGCTCTCTCACCCCCACCTGCCTCACAGGGTGTCTGTTGTGGGGAGGAGAAGGGGAAGGAGTTTGTAAGATGCTCCTGAGACTCCTTCAGGTAGTGAAGGGAGGGGTATAAATCTTCTTCTTCTGGATGTCCTTGGGCAAGCCATAGTTCTGTCAGAGCTGTTCTCTCAAGGGCAGCTCTGGAAAGCGCTCTCTCAGCCCCGCCTACCTCACAGGGTGTCTGTTATGGGGAGGGGAAGGGAAAGGAGTTTGTAAGCCGCTCTGAGACCCCGAGTGAAGGGTGGGGTGTAAATCCAATCTCCTCCTCCTCTCCTCCTAAACCTGATTAGGGGTTAACCTTGGTGCTAAAACCACATCACGGAACAAGGCAGTGGGGCACGTGCTGTGTCTCCCCATGGAAATACTCTCCGTCAGTGTTAAAGCGAAGCCCCGCAGAATGCTCCCTCTAAGCTGTGAAGTCTTGTGAGCAAAAATGTGTGAGCCGGAGGCTAAAAAAACCGCGAGCTAGCTCACACTAATTCAGCTTAAAGGGAACGTTGGTTGTGAGAGGGTGTTTGTTTTTTTGCATGCTGTTGTGTTTTTTGAGTCATGTTAACGGTGTTATTCTCCACCTGTCTCTTCTGTGTCGCTCCCATCACATCGCCCCTCTTCCTCGTCGCTTGGCCCTTACTCCCCCCTCCCCCTGTCTGTCCGTCCGCCCCTTCTGTGGATCCATCTGTCTCAGCCCATTTCTGTGTCTCCTCAGCAAATCCACAACATTCGCCAACACTCCACCTCAGGGCCCCCTCCGCTGCTGCTGGCTCCCCGGGCCTCCGTCCCCAGCGTGCAGATCCAGGGCCAGCGGATCATACAGCAAGGCCTGATCCGCGTTGCAAACGTACCCAATGCGAGCCTGTTGGTCAACATCCCACAGGTGAGTTCGAGAAGTCCGCGGCTGAGAAGAAGGGGCTGTGTTTGGAAGCCAGGCCTTAGAGTTGTAAGAGTCGTGCAGCAGTGGAATCAGCTGCCTGGGAGCTCCCCCTCACTTTCAGTCTTTAAGCAGCGTCTGGACAATCACTTGACAGAGATGCTCTAGGCCAGGGGTGTCAAACGTGTGGCCCGGGGGCCGGATTAGGCCCCCAGAGGGCTTCTATCAGGCCCGCAATAGAACTGCTGTCTTCTGCTGCTGCTGTTGCTGCGTCATCGTAGGGTTTGCAGCTTACAGATACACACCTGATCAGCATACTTATGATTGCAACGACACAGACATTTTGATGCAATAATTCAGTGCAAGAGGTGTCAGGTGTCAGTTATCAGACACTGTTAAATAAACAAAATATTGCAAGAGTGCTAATGTTTTAAGCATGTTTTTATTTTAAGTAAAAAAACCCACCCTTGGTGTCTGTGTCCTTTATAGGGTTGCCAAGTCTCACCTTGTTCCGGAGCGGGGGACTCCTGGGTCGATCCCTAGAGTTTTCCCTCGGATGACTGTGGCCCCGCCCCCAGCGTGCCCGGCGTGGTCGCGTCACTTCCTGGTGACATGCACATCGGGGTGGAGTTCCCCCCGGGGCCCGATCCGGCTTGACAACTTGGCAAGCCTAGTCCTTTATAAAGTTTATATCTCCGCCGCCTGGCATTACATTCTATGACACACATGGCCCGGCCCAACAAGGTCTCCTTTATGTCAGATCCGGCCTTCATAACAAATGAGTTTGACACCCCTGCTCTAGGCTGATCCTGCCTTGAGGGGGGGGTTGGAGTAGATGGCCTGTATGACCCCTTCCTACTCTGTGATTCTAGTTCACTCAGCAGTGCAGTAGTTCCAAAACTTGCCCTGCAAAGGTTGGTCTGCAGCATTTTCTCCTGGTCTCAACATAGTTTCATCTCTGCATGAGTTCCTGCTCTGGCCAATCTTTTCCCAGGAACGTATCATTCTGCCCTATCTCTGCATTGGGTAGAACAAATCTAGAGTCCAGTGGCACCTTTAAGACCAACAAACCTTTATCCAAGGTATGAACCTTCGTGTGCGTGCACACTTTTTCGGATAAACTTGAATTTCAAATACATTGGTATTTGAAAAAATGTGTGTGTGCATGAACATTCATACCTTTTTATTTTTTTTAATTAAATTTTTATTAATTTCAAATCTTACAAGTTCGTTACAGGCTTTTTTACAACAAAAAGAAATAAATTTTACATTGTTTAATAATGGCCTGCTACAAGTTGCTAACTCTGTTCTGCTTCTACCTCGTTTGTATATAATAATCATTAATTGGGTCTGATAGAGATTGGCGCGCCTGAATACATATTTCTGCCTCTCAAAATTACTCCAGTACCAATGCTTTTATTTATAAATCTTATTTCCCATTATTTCCCTTATAATTATTTGAGTAATGTTTTGTTAGATCTCCTTATGCTTATAACGATTTAATCTTCTTTGTGGTCTCTGTGCAGTCACACCCATGGGATTATGCGCCCGCGCTGATCCAAATCGGTGGTATGCAAAGCTCACAAAGGGATTTTCGCGCCTCCCTCCCAGGCATGCGCGGGAACCCCACTGCGCATGTCCAAAGAGGTGGGGTGTGGACATCCCGCCAGTTCCTTCTGACCGCTGTCATATCAATAACAACAGAAAAGTACTGAAGCAACAGCAGTGGGGAAGGACGGGCGGGTGGTGTGACTGCACAGATGACCCTCGAAGATCACCAGTTGCAGGTAAGCAACCTGTTTATCTTCTTCATGGTCTCTGTGCATCACACCCATGGGAGATTGAAAAGCAGTGGCTCACCTGGAGGTGGGAGCTGTCGCAAATTCAATGCTCTGCCGACGAAAGGACTAGACGACCAAGTTCCACTCTGTGGCGTTCACGAACATCAACAGCATAGTGCTTAATGAAAGTGTTCGGAGTAGACCATGTCGCAGCCCCACAGATCGCCGACAGAAGAAGGCTGTAGACGTAGCCATGGATCTTGTGGAATGCGCTCGCACAGGCAAGGGCAACGGGCACTTAGCCAACAGGTAGCACAGTTTAATAGTCTCAACCAGAGGTCATTTCGGGGGGGAACGCGGGGGAACACAGTTCCCCCGGGTGAGGCACGGGGGGCGGGGCACATGACGAAGCCCCGCCCCCTGCTTCCGGCCCTCCTTCAGCCAGGAGGAGGCAGGAGAAGAGGGAGGGTAAGTTGCTTCCTCCCTGCCTCTCCCCACCCCTGCCTGCCTGGGGCCAGGGA